CTTTCTCAAGAATAAATGTGGAAGGCCTGAGCTGAAATTATCTCAAATACCAACTTGCACAAAAAGAACCAATGAACAAAACAAATCAAAAATAAAAATATACCTGCATCAGTGCTTCCTGGCACCTCCCGACACTACAGAGGCAGCGTGCAAGGTCGTAATAAAGAGCAGCAGATCCTATGATTCCCCGTTTTTCCATACTTTGAACAACTGATGCAACCTCATCTATCCTACCTTCCTTCCAAAGGGTATTTACAAGAACTGAAAATTACCCAAAGTCGGCTTCCACAGCAGATTTGATATGAACCTTGGGAATTAGGCACATCTCAAGACACCTATAATTCATGGACCAAGTTGTATTTGCCACATTCAAACATCACCTGCGCAAATCAACACACTTTTTTAAGTACTTTTTATCCATATAGAAAATTCATTTAACAGCACCATATTACAAACTTCAGAGAATATATTTCCCATCAGGAATGATAGGCCAAAGTTGAAATGATACAAGAATAGAGAGTATAGCCATGAAAGCTCATGCCAAAAACCCTTTCCAACAATAGAACACTGCTATAGTGCTATTTCTTATGCAACTTGAGGAAACTTAAGAAACATTGAAGACCCTTCACTTGCAACTTAAGAAAAGTACAAACCCATCCAAAATATTACTAGGATTGGCATTAATTGATGATTACAAAAGTACAAAAACCTAAACCTGGAACTAAAATAAGTTTTGTAAACTTATTCACCTCCATTACAAGTCCATATGTAGTATTGGAAGGCTGTAGATGCTGTAGCTTTAACTGCTGCAAAACTCAAAATGCCTCCTCCCACTCTTTCCGCCTGGCACAAGCATTCAGAAAATGCAAATGCAAGAAAAATGAACATTCATTGTAAGCACCAACAATTCAGCATAATACCAAACAAAATATAATTAATAAACTTTTAAAGATGATAGTGTTTAGGTATACTAATATGTATTACTCACCGCATTGTAAACAACAATATCCGGCTCTAGTCTTGGGTCCCACTTCCCAAGTGGCCCTGTCTTGAATTTCTTCTTGGGAGGAGATCGCATGATCTCAATAACATCAAAAAGTTCCCTCATGTGCCCAAGAGTAACAGCAATAGAGCGATAAGCAACCATGTCAGGATATGAAGCCATTTGTTCCTGTGGTAAATTGGGAGAGAAGAAAAGGAAATCAAATAAACCTTTCCCCTTCTGTCAAACAAAAGTTGATTTCATGAGCCACATAAATGAGAACTGAAATATATTACCCGCATTGAATGAAATAAGTTAAGAGCTTCCACAGGTCGTCTTGCTTTCCCAAGTACATCCAGTGCAGTTGTCTAAATATGTCTGCACCATAAAGATACATCAAGTACATCCATTGAAAAGGGGGGGGGGGGGTACTGCAAACAATGGATTTCAAAAAACTCAAGAGAGAGAAAACATTACTGGATGGTAACATGTAAAAGTTAAAGGAGAAAGAATGAACAGGTAGCACTCTCTTTCATGTTAATAAGAAGTTCCAAGTATTCTCAGGATATGGCATTCTCATGCATCATAATTTGCTTCTCTGTTATTCTTTAACTCTTAGTGATGCCAATGGAAACTGGAGTAAAAAAAAAGAACGACGAATATTTCAAATTATTCTATTATTCCAAGACATAAATGCTAAGATGAAGTTCATGATTATATATTATGGGGATTTTAGAACCTAACCAACTTTATGCAACTAAAAGAAAAGCGTTAAAAAGAGTAAAAATGCATAGTCCGGTGAAAGCAAAGGTTGAAATTTCCTGGAGTAGATATAAGCATATATACATCCTCTAAATCGAACAACCTCAATCATATAAAAGTTTTGGTGCAAATGTGGGGGGGAAATCCTGAATAATCTGGTATGTAGGAAGAAAATTGAAGCCAATGAAGATGTGAATTTTCAAATTACTAAGACCAACAAACTATATTGATTCACTTCTTACAGCACAACTCTACGGACATCAGCTTGCGTGCAACAGAAAGTAAGGGAAACTGGCGAGCAAAATTCCCCGAGCCTGTGAGATTTGAAGCGCTCGCGCATTTCAAGCCATTCAATGACTTGAAGTACCCACCTCCAATTCCCTAGTTTACCTAATGTCTGAATCTCCCATATTCTACAATAGTCTGTAAATTTTATTTTTGCACTACGCATCATCTTAGAAAACACCCACTCAGGTATATCAATGTCTGCACCATTCAACCTGTTAAAAACGAACTACTTAAAGAAGAATGGAACCATTTTAAAGTCTATCTAAAAAAAACACAATACTTGAACCAGTAATTAACAAAAAAAAAAAATGATATAATCCGTGAAAAATCACATTCACCTAGAAATATCCTAGGAACGATAAAAGAAGTCAAGAGTCAGCAATAGGCCCTGAAGTTCAAATGAAATTCCTTTGGCATGTTTTAACTTTAGATATCAACATGGAAGTTTCTTTCTTTTCTACCAGAACAAAAACTTGATAAATCCATTGAAGCAAATCCTAATAGACGTTTCCTCGCCTAAACGCTTCTACTTCCCTTTAAACCACCTTAACCAATCCAAATAAACATATATTACGATAAACAATAAATGATGGGTGACAATAGTTCATAAAAAATTAGCAATGTTAGAAATTAGATAGATAAAAAATGGTGTAGCTTTCACCTTGATGTGATGGTAAAAGGTTCATCATAATTTCATATCAATAACATCCAAATTTCAAAAGTCGGAAAATAAACTAGCGGCAATAAGAGAGTTATAGAGTACATACGACTTCGCTAATTTTTTAACTCTCTCCTCCATTTTGATCTTTGAAACTCGTGGTTTATTAACAATGTCATTGGATTCTTCAAAGTTCTTGAAAGCAACTCTGTCAGTCTTCAAATCATCATCCTCGAATTCTTCGAGAAATTCCTTCCTGATTCTAGTTTTCACGATTCCTTCGTTTTTTGGCGTTTGCTTCATTGTATTTCAAGACTTTGGACACCTTTACTTCCTTAGGAAAGCCTCCAAACTTCATTAAACTGGCATTTCTTTCATAGCTTTCTAATTTTGCATCATATTTGCGTCTATTTCTTAGAAACAATGTTGTTATTGGAACATAAAACACAAATAATATTCTGAAGAGAATGAAAAAGACCAGCAGAAGAAATAGAATAAGTACTTACAATTTGGCTGATTCTTTTGTTCTTTCTTCTATCTGCATTCGTGAAGCCCGTTGCTTGTCTACAAGATTACCGGGTTTTTCAAAATTCTTGTGCTCATCTCTCAGCGCCTTCACATCATCAGCTTCACTATTTAGAGGTAATGCCTTTCTGCTTCTAGTTCTAGTAGCTCCTTCACTCTTCACGTTTACTTTGTCGTGTTCAACAATTTTGGACATATTTTCTTTCTCCCCAATATCTTTGGTTGACTCGTCTTTATTTGATTTAAAAGATTTCTTCTTCTCCTTTAAAGACTCCAAAGTCTTCAAATACTCATCAAAAGATGGCTTAAATTCGAACTCCTTTTCCAGAATCCCTCCACCGGAATTAACCACTCTTAGAGAAAACCTCCGTTTCTTCCTGCTTGGGTCCTTTGACCATAAATCAACCGCACAAGTTGGTCTCCGGCAATTGACGAACCCACTAACAGGAAATGGTTTCGGGCCATAAACTGAAGTGCAAATGCTACTGCTTTCAAAGCTAAACAAACCCTTTGACCTTGAGCACTCACCATGGCAACGGAATGTAAAGCTCCCACTTTTAGCTAAACACTGCTATCTGGGAGTTGGGGAAGGCGATAAAAATAAATAAAATTCCGCGAAGACGAAGCAAAAGCTTGAAGCTGAAGAAGATTAGAGATATTTGGGGCGGAGAAGTGTTTCTTGGACCAAACTGCTAGTTTGGGCCAAAGGTGCAAACAAATCCATCAATGGCTATTAAGGGCTTATTGTGAATTCGGCCTGGTTTCTTTTTCCATCTTTGATTTTGCATGTAAAAGGAAAAATATGAAATGTCACTGAATGCTTTTGTTTGCTTATTTCCCAAGTTATGAGTTAGATGGATGGAGATGATTGAATAACCCTTTTTTTGGGGGTAGGGGACTGTCATCATGTGCATTCAATCAACCTTTTGCATTTTACCCTGAAATAAAAGTAGCGAAAGAAAAGGTAACAGTGTCGGTGGCAAATGGCAATGTAGTTTTCAACTTTATTTGTTGATTTATTGTCCTTTTACATAAAGGAAATGAGTGTTGAAATGCATCATTTGGGTGAAGCATGAATCGAGTAAAGCCTCAACTTACATGTGCTGCATGCTTTGAAAAACAGAGAGAAATCATTCTTCTTTCACATTCTTAGTTGATGATAGGTGACACTAACTGCCTCAATAATGTATGTATGTATGTACGTCATTCTACTTAATTTCAAGGCAGGCTACTTGGATATGGTTTGAACTCTACCATGAAACTACAATTTAGTCTTTAATCTTATACTACAATAATGTCAAACTAGCAAGCAATAGCAATAATGTCAAAATAACTGATATCCAAACTTAAATGCCTCGAAAATTTATAGCACGCTTGGTCCCCCCCCCCCCCCACCCAACACAGCCTCTGGCCTCAGACTTCCTTGAAATTAGAAATCCTAGTTACCCTCTTCCTCCAACTGAAGATTACATAATTGCATGGTAACGTTCCTCAAAGATTAACTCAAGGAGAGTAAAGTGATTTCTGTTCCCATCGGACATTAGAGAAATTAGAGGGTTGGAAAAGGAAGAAAAGGCCCCATGCCGCTTTCTCATAATTCATTGAAGTGCTTTCATCCATGAAATACAGTGAAGCTCAGCCCCTCCTTTTAATATTTTTATCATGCTCTGGTTTTTTAAAGCCCCACAACTTTGAACATATGAAACTCATCAAGAAAAAGATGGAAAATTAGCACCACCTGCTGAATTTAATCAACTTTTTTCAGATTTTCAAGGAAAACTATGTGATGAAATTTTATTGATATTGGGTTTATAAATAAAGAATGGTTATCTAGATCCACGGCAGTCGTGTCTCAGTCTCGGATATCTAGGTTCCCGAGGACCAAGCTTTTTGAAGCGGAGTTTCCTGATTGAGTCTCCCAAAATGCGTTAGTATTCAGTGCACCTTCTGTACACTACAGAATCCATATGGAATTTAGCACTATAGTATAGTATTCTTAAGCTTTGAGAAAAGTAATCATCATTATTTATATATGCTACTTCCTGCTCTAGGATGCAGAAATGTAAAGGTTCAAGAGTCGCTGAACCTCAAGTGATAGTCCTTTAAATGGCGAAGAAGAAGAGCTGGTTCAATCTAGTGAAGAGTTTTTTTCTCTTTGAGACAGTTGCAAATGCTCATAAGGTAACTTTGCGTTATACCTTTGTCCCAAAGTTTTTTTTTCCCTCTGGTTCTCGTATGAATGATTGGTTGTCATGAATGTCATCTATCTCTTGAAAGGAGAAAAGAAGGAAATGGATGTTTGGAAGGTTTAGGATCAAAAGGCTGCCATCCCTTAAAGCTCCATCTCCACCAAGTGACGTCACAAAATGTGAAATGGAGGAAGATCAGAAAAAACATGCTTTAGCTGTCGCAATTGCCACGGTTGCTGCTGCCGAAGCAGCTATTGCAGCTGCTCAGGCTGCAGCCGAGGTTGTTCGTCTCAATGGTTGTTACGACCTTAAAACTAACCATGAATATGCTAGTGAAGGAGAAATAGAAGAGAAACCCTTGGATGTTCCATCTGATTCTTCCTCATCTAGTGAGCCTGAAAGGAAGTTGCACGAACTCGCTGCCACAAAGATCCAGGCTGCCTTTCGGGGATACCTTGTAAGTTGCCTTGTTTCATCGTTAGCTGCTTGTTTGTAGGTGATCTGCCATGTTTTTTGAAATGAATTTGGTGGAGAAACTTGTAGGCAAAGAAAGCTTTGAGGGCACTGAAAGGGATAGTGAGGCTTCAAGCAATCATCCGAGGCTGGGTTGTGAGAAGACAAGCATTGACTGCTCTAAAATGCTTGCAATCAATTGCAAACATACAGTCCCAGGTATGTGCAAGGCGATTCCAAGTGGTTGCAGGCACTTGGCAAGATGATGAGAACAGACAGTTGTTGACATTGAAAGACAAGATTATTAAGGTAGATGCCTCTATTGTCACTCCAGACAACACTAAGTTGTCAAACTCAACAGTCATGTGATGGTCTTATAATGGTCCTTCAGTTTTCTTTGTTGGTGCAACCAGAGGTACATCTAATTACCGGTTAAAATGTTCGAAAACTTGCAGGTGGACACCAACAGTCAAAGAAGATGTGATGATAGCATTTTGACAAAGGAAGAAACAGATGATATCAGTTTAACTAAGAAAGAATATGCAATTAAGAGACAAGTGATGAACTATCGGGTGATCGTCCTTGGCTCGAACTGTCTGTCTTCATATTTTACTTATCTAGTGACTAGTGCTTTGTTCTAAGGAGTTGGAAAACTTCAATGCAGAATTCAACAGAAACAAAACAGAAGAATGTTAATGGAAGATTGATGTACTGGATAGACCAATGGGCGGATACTAAAAGTAATGAACTCGGAGTCGAAGATTTGGACTCGGTTTGGACTTCAAACCGCAAGCCTACTGGGGAAAGCAGATGTAAACAACTAGGGCTCAAGACTTTTCAGAGACGGTATCACTGTGATGCCGAAGGATCGTATTCTCCTGTACCGATTCGGCGTCGATCATTTCACGGAAAGCAGAGTTCTCTCGGAGAAGACAGCTCTTTTTTTACCTCTACTGTAGTCCCTACTTACATGGCTGCTACACAATCTGCTAAGGCAAAAGTAAGATCAGTGAGTTCACCGAAGCTAAGACCAGAAACTTGTGATACTCAATCCGAAAGCTACTCGACATATGAGAACAAACTGTCTATTATATCTTCAGTTACAAGCAGGCCTAGCACTTATCAGCAAAGATATCCAACTCTGAAGGGTTTAAGTTCAAAGCAAACCTCAAAAGATGTTAGCTTTAATTGAGTGTCCAATGCCTAATTGGTAACGAGCGTTTGTTATTGTGCTGGTTGAAATGTAGATGTTACTTTGTACTTAAACAATTGAATGAATCAAGCTTCATGTATGAGACAAGACGAATTCGGTCCATTAAAAAATAACATCAGTTTCGATGGGATTTTTTTTAACCCTGCGCCAAACTTAATTAGCCCAATAGGCATGGTTTTTATTTTGCAAACTACCGCAAAAAGTTCCAATACAAGATAAACTCATCGAGTTTGCCTAATTTTTTTTTAATAGTCCTAGGTAAGTGAGCCTCATGTGAGTTAATATTATATTATATTTTCATGATGTGACGAGTCTGATGAAAAGTAAATTTTTAAATTCAGTAACTAATTTAAAAAATAAAAAATTTAGAACTCATCACGTTGTCGTGATGAATTCCCTTTAGAATTTAAAATAAACTAGTCATTTACAACCATTAGGCAACGGCCAACAACAATGGGCATATTATAACTCGTCACGTTGAGGTGACGAGTTCCACGAGATTTTTGAAAAATATAGTCGTTTATAGTCATTGGGTTTGGGGGTTTAGGATTGATTTAATACCAAAATAAGTGTCAAACTATACTGTTTTTCCCAAATAGGTGCTTGAACTATTTTTTTTAGTCATTCAGGTGTCTAACGTTGTAAATGTTACCCATTTAGGTGCTCGGGCTGTCAAAAATGTTAATTTCCTCGTTAAGTGACATGTGTCACAATATATTATTTTTGATTTTTTTTAAAAAAAAATAAAAATATTATGATATTTACAAGAAAACTAACTTTTCTTATATTATAAAACGATCCAAAAATCCCAAATCCTAACCTTAATCCACCGCGTTGCCCTTTCTGGCCACGATCACCACCACCGACATAGTCCCTACCATCATCCTACTCATACGTCGTCGTAGTTTCCATTGATTGGGCGTCAAAATTGTGTGGGATCCGATTTTCATCCTAGGGTTCACAGAGTATAAAACGTTGATTTGTCATCGACGATCACGATTTCATGAGAGTTTTGGTCGATGGGGGGAGGGGAGGTCAGGTGGAGCTTCGTCGACGGCAAAAGATGGAGGTCGACAAGAGTTTAGGGGTTGAAATGAAGGTTTCAAAGTTTTGGGTTTATTTCAAAATTTGTGTTTTCTTTTTAAAATATATATATAATTTTAAATTTTAAATAATTTTTTTAAAATTATCAGATTATGCCACGTGTCACTTAACGAATGAATTAACAACTTTGATGAATCGGGCACCTAAATGGGCAACGTTTGTAACGTTAGGCACTGGGATGAATAAAAAAATAGTTTAGGCACCTATTTGAGAAAAGAGATATACTTTGGAAATTTATTTTAATATTAAACCTTTAGGATTTTTATTGTGTATTGTAAAAAAAATTGAGAAAATTTTGTATATTTTTTGAAGAATTTCTAAAAATGTCTACCTAAGATGAAATGTTACGCCTTGATGTTGTCCATATTTCTTCACTCAAACCCACTCCGAAAGAAGAACGGGGCATTCGAGGAAAGACATTTAGAGTTTCCATTAGTGAAATTTTATATATCTACAATAATTCAAGCTATATCCATTCACATTTCTTCATGATTTTAAGGTGAACCTGACATTGATTTCTACGTTGATTGAATGTTGGAGGCCCAAAACGCATATTTTCCATTTTTTGAGTTGTGAAGTGACGATTACATTGGAAGATGTCGCTTACCAACTCGATGTTCTGATTGATGGTGCGACACTAATAAGGAACAACGAGTTCCAAAGATTTTTTTATAATTTTTAAATTAATTACTGAATTTTAAAAAATATTTTTAACGTGTCAGGACCTGAAAATATTTTTCGGGTAAATTCGTCACGACGAGTTTGTCATGCACTATAGCTTTTGCCGTAATTTGCAAAATAAAAAACATGATGGCCTATTGGGCTAGTTAAATTTTGCAATTGACCGATGTCCTGTCTTTCTCTTTATATTTGGTCCATGAAAAATAACTCATCAAATAACGGACATTTTGGCCCAATAGAACAACCCAAAATAATTGTAAAATATGACACGAAGACTTTTATTTTGGAATCTACGATATATTCTATAGTGCATGGAACTCGTCACGTTCAGGTGACGAGTTTTAATAAATTTTTACTTTGATTGATAAAATTTAATAAAAATATATTTTATTATAACTTGTTACGTCAAGGTGATGAGTTTAAATAAAAATATTTTTTATTAAAACTCATCATATTGAGATGACAAGATCCAACTCTAGTAGGCTAAACAAAAACCTAGATGCCCTAATAGGCTAAATAAAAAAACCGGATGTCCTAATAAGTAAAAAAAAACCGTCAAATAACCATATCCGAGGGCAACATTTGTCTTTATCCATTAGCTAAGCTGGACCATATTTGATGAGTTAATTGGATTTTTATAATTTCCTCGCATCAAGTGATCCATTTATTCTTTGTTCTAAATTCGAGGTTGGGCCTAATTCCTTAGGGAGTAAATATACCATTACCAATAATATAAAAGGGCCCATGGTATAGGGTTACACTTACAAGTTTACAACCAACAGCAACGAGACCGATAAAAGTAAAAGAAGACGGTGATGAAAATGGGCCTCTGGTGAGGCTATCAGGCAAAGAAAACAAGTTCGCTTTCAAGAAGAAACAACAATGGAAGTGACAAATTAAAGGATCAGTCAAAGATTTGGATGTGACTAATTTGATTCATCCGTCTAACAAAGTGTAACATAATAGGACACGCATGGATTGAAGAACAATCTTCAAACAGCACAGTTGCTTTCATGAAAACGAAGATGCCCACCACCAAGCCATGGCCACACCCTGCATTATCTGCAGCATTCAATTTCGTTTGGATGTAGGTGGAGCTCATGGATTTCCTTTTCCAACCAATATTCTTTCATCCCTTCATACTTCTAGTCCTACAAGTTGTTTGAGATCACAATTTCCAATTTCAAACTTGTGGGGATCTTTTTCAAGTAAAATTGGCTAGTCCTTTTGCGTCCTAGAAAATGACATGCAAAAGGGTTTCAAACTTGTTTTGTTTTTTAAAAATAAATTACTGAAAAATCTTATTATCTTCTACAATTTTACTATTTAAATTCAAAACTAAATTATTCACTTCATCTAAAGAAAGGAACAACTAGCTATAGACGTTGAAATGCTACATATATGCAAAAACAAAATAACAGAAATGCTACCTATAGACGTTGAAATGCTCGAACAGGGGACAATAAGTCATACCCCCACTCCCTACCTAAAACATTAAAATGCTTGAAAAGAGGACAAGCTTATTCTACCCTGCCACTAGGCCCTATACATGGTTGGCCTTGGCGTACCTACCCGGTTGTGGCCCCATAAAAGGGACGGTCACGACAATCTCCCCCACCTAATTTGTCGACGTCCTTGTCGACTGCTTGGCCTGAAACTCTTCAATCTTTTGCTTGAATGCCCTGAGATCATACTCTCTTTCCCAAGTGTTCTCTTCCTGATCAAAGCCTCCCCACTTGACTAGATACTCCCGTCTTTGCTTTCCACCCACCTTAACAATTCTCCCTGCTAGAATCTCGTCAACATGACGCTGTGAGGGTGGTTGTGTGCCGATTGACTCCCTGGCAGACATACTCTGATTATCGATATTGGGAACGGTGTGAAACGGCTTCAAATTGCTCACATGGAAGACAGGGTGAACTCTCATCCAAGTAGGAGGGTCAACTTTGTACGAAGCATTCCCCACCTTTGCTACTATTGAGACTGGACCCTCGTACTTACGCACCAAGCGACGATCCCTCTGGCGTAAAAATCTAAGTTGTTCTGGCATCAACTTGACTAGCACCAAATCTCCAACCTGAAAGTGTAGGTCTCGCCTGTTACGATCTGCGCATTTCTTCATACGCTTCGTTGCTTTCTCTAAGTAAGCCTTGGCAATCTCTATATTCTGCTTCCACTCCCCCACAAAATTTGAGGCACGAGGGCATCTACCTTGAGAGGTCTCATCCATAGTGTGAGGAAGTCTTGGCTGCTGATCTGTCACCAGTTCAAAAGGGCTTTTATTAGTAGACGAACTCTATTGTGAATTAAAACATAATTGCGCCACATCCAATAATGGAGGCCAGTTCTTCTGATTGGCCTGAATAAAGTGCCTTAGGTACTCCTCCAAGAGTCCATTAAATCGCTCAGTTTGACCATCTGTTTGAGGGTGGTAACTCGACGAAAAGTTGAGTTGTGTCCCCAATAACTGGAACAATCCTTTCCAAAATTTCCCAATAAATCTTCCATCTCGGTCACTGACTATGCTCTGAGGAATGCCCCAATATTTCACCACATGTTCGGGGTTCGGGCTCGGGGCTCGGGGCTCGGGCTCGGGCTCGGGGCTCGGGGCTCGGGGCTCGGGGCTCGGGCTCGGGGCTCGGGGTTCGGGGTCCGGGGTCCGGGGTCCGGGGTTCGGGCTGGGGCTGGGGCTGGGGCTTGGGGTTGGGGTGGGGCTTGGGGCTTGGGGCTTGGGGCTTGGGGCTTGGGGCTTGGGCTTGGGGCTTGGGGCTTGGGCTTGGGGCTTGGGGCTTGGGGCTTGGGGCTTGGGGCTTGGGGCTTGGGGCTTGGGGCTTGGGCTTGGGGCTTGGGGCTTGGGGCTTGGGGCTTGGGGCTTGGGGCTTGGGGCTTGGGGCTTGGGGCTTGGGGCTTGGGGCTTGGGGCTTGGGGCTTGGGGCTTGGGGCTTGGGGCTTGGGGCTTGGGGCTTGGGGCTTGGGGCTTGGGGCTTGGGGCTTGGGGCTTGGGGCTTGGGGCTTGGGGCTTGGGGCTTGGGGCTTGGGGCTTGGGGCTTGGGGCTTGGGGCTTGGGGCTTGGGGCTTGGGGCTTGGGGCTTGGGGCTTGGGGCTTGGGGCTTGGGGCTTGGGGCTTGGGGCTTGGGGCTTGGGGCTTGGGGCTTGGGCTTGGGCTTGGGGCTTGGGGCTTGGGGCTTGGGGCTTGGGGCTTGGGGCTTGGGGCTTGGGGCTTGGGGCTTGGGGCTTGGGGCTTGGGGCTTGGGGCTTGGGGCTTGGGGCTTGGGGCTTGGGGCTTGGGGCTTGGGGCTTGGGGCTTGGGGCTT